TTTCAGCTTCATGACCTTAGTCAAAGCAAGTAATTTAAAAACATATAAGCAACATATATTCAAAAGCAATTTAGTTTTTGTTTTCCTTTTAAGGGTGGCACATGGATTAGCAAAAGATTGAAAGCCTCATTCAGTCTCCTTGGCCATTCAATCCTTGCTGAGTCTGCCAAGAGAGCCAATTGTGGGGGCTGGTTTTTTGTGATGTGAATTCCTGCTTCACTACAACGTGGACTGAGAGCATCAGCTCTTTTCACATAGCACCCCCACCACAGAGCCATCAGATCGTAATTACATTGACTGGTCATTACAGCCCTAGGACCACATTCTGTGCTGTGCCTCACAGGAGTGCATAGAGGTTAGGTAAAGGCAACTGTATGCCCCTTTCATGCCTCCTGGATTGTGGGATAAGTTGGGGCCCAGTCAGTCTCCAGCATAATTTAGAGCAGTCCCTGGGCAGGTTTTTACGGCAGCTTCCCAAGGCCCCCTATTGGTAAGTTTGGCAGAATTCAGCTTTTATTTTTTTATAATTTCAACAGATAATATCAATGTTTATAAGAACATAAGAATGGCTATACTGAGTCAGACCAATGGTCCATCTAGCTCAGTATTCTGTCTTCCGACAGTGGCCAATGCCAGGTGCTTCACAAGAATGAACAGAACGGGTAATCATCAAGTGATCCACCCCATTGCCCATTCCCAGCTTCTGGCAAACAGTCGCTAGGGACACCATAATAAATTCTTAAATATTTTTAAGAATATTTAATTTTCATTGATTTAAATGTTCACTGTTGTGCAAAATGATGGGTTCTATTTTTTTTTATTTTAATCTATTTAAATTTTCATAGCTGTGAGACATTATGGATGGGGGGGTCCAGACAATAATTATTGAATGACAGCAGATGTTCAGATTCAAAAAGTTAAAGTGTTATAATCTTTAAAACACCAATAGTCAATGTCACATGTCAAAATATACAAAGTAAATATCATTAAATCAAACACTAATAAGTTCTCAAGCAGCATTTTTCTTACTTTGCCTATCTGTAAATTTTGGTTATTATTAATGGAAATATCTTGTTATCTGTTTGTTTGTGTGTGATGAAATCGATGTTTACCAATAAAAATCTAATCCTTCCAAGCCCAGAACAGCTGGAGCAGAGAATACCCCAGCCACACACTTTTCCTCCCACAGCACCTCTCTTCTGGGCCTTATACCACCCCCAGCAACCCCTACAGTGACAGCTGCAAGAGGGGAAAGCCTGTTTTGCTGGCCTTTCACCTCTTTGGGAATCCCTCTGTGCTGGGGGAATCTAGCTGTTTTCTAGACCTTGTGGTCGTGTCTACACTGCAACTAAAAACCCACAGCACCGAGTCTCAGAACCCCATCAGCTGACTTGAGCTTGCGTGGCTTGGGCTGCAAGGCTGAAAAATAGCAGCATAGATATTTAAAGTCAGGCTGGAACCTGGGCTCTGAGTTCCTCCCCCTTGCAGAATCTCAGAACCCAGGCTTCAGCCCAAGCCCAGATTTCTACAATGCAATTTTATAGCCCCGCAGCTTGAGCCCTGTGAGCCTGAATGAGCTGGCCTGGCATAGGTGCCAACTTTCCCCAGCGCCGGTGGGTGCTCGCGCCCAACCGCCCCCTCCCTGCCCCGCCCCAACTCCACTCTTTCCCCAACCCTGCCCCGCCCCCATTCCAACCCCTTCCCCAAAGTCCCCGCCCCAACTCCGCCCCCTCCCTGCCCCATTAGACCCCTTCCCAAAATCCCCGTCCCGACCCCACCTCTTCCCCGAGTGCGCCACGCTCCCCCTCCTCCCCCCTCCCTCCCAGCCGCGCAAAACAACTGTTTCGCGGCGCAAGCCCTGAGAGCTAGAGGGGAAAAGTGGGCACGCAGCATGCTCAGAGGAGGAGGCGGAGGTGCGCTGGGTGGGGGGGCGGGGAGCACCCACCAATTTTTCCCCGTGGGTGCTCCAGCCCCAGAGCACCCATGGAGTCGGTGCCTATGTGGCCTGGGCCAACTGCGGCCATGCCACAGGTCTTTTATTGCAGTGTAGGCATACCTTTAGGGTACATCTTCACCACAGTGAGTCTCAGAGCCTGGGTCAACTTACTGTATGGTTAAAAATTGTGGTGACAAACAATGTTCAGGCTCAGGCCGGAACCCAGGCTCTGAACCTCTGTGAGGGGGAGGAAGCCCTGGCTTCACTTCATCTACAGCTATTTTTAGTTTTGCAAGCCCCAGCCAGTTGACCTGGGCTCTGAGACTCACTGTCACGGGGTGGGAGGGGTTTCTGTGTAGATGTACACTTTTGTATGTAAGGAGTGGTGTAGAGACGGCAGAGCTGCTGAGAATCAGGGCCCTAACCTGAATTTGAAGTGACTAAATCCTCATCTACACTAGAAAATTAGTTCAGCATAACTACTCTGCTGAGGCTACGTCTTCACTACCCGCCTGAATTGGCAGGTAGAAATCGATCTCTCGGGGATCGAATTATCGCATCTCGTCGGGACGTGACAATTGATCCCCGAATCGACACTTGTACTCCACCAGCGCAGGTAGGAGTAAGCACCGTCGACGGGGGAGCCGCGGAGGTCGATTTGCTGCCGTCCTCACAGCGGGTTAAGTCGGATCGGATACGTCGAATTCAGCTACGCTATTCGAGTAGCTGAATTTGCGTATCTTAAATCGACCCCCCCCCCCCCCCAGTGAAGACGTAGCCTCAGGCATGTGAAAAATCCACACCCCTGAGCACTGTAGTTAAGCCGACCTGAGGTCCCGTGTTGATAGCACTAGGTAAATGGAAAAATTCTTCCATCGACCAAGCTACCGCCACCCAGGAAGGTAGATTACCTACATCAACAGGAGAATCTCTCCCGTCAGCATAGGTAATTTCTACTCTGAAGCACTACAGCAGCACAGCTGTGCCACTGTAGTGTTTTAAGCATAGACAAGCCCTCAGACACCCATCTGAAAAATGGGAATAATACTTCCCTAGCTCACAGGGGTGTATGAGGCTTCGTTTATAAATAATGAAGTTGTGTAAAAGCCTTGTATGAAAAGCACGACAGAAGCACAAGTGTGTTCTCTCATAGACATTGAGACCCTTTAAACTGTTATACTTAAGGACAGGTTTCAGAGTAGCAGCCGTGTTAGTCTGTATCCGCAAAAAGAACAGGAGTACTTGTGGCACCTTAGAGACTAACAAATTTATTAGAGCATAAGCTTTCGTGGGCTACAACCCACTTCTTCGGATGCATCTTATGCTCTAATAAATTTGTTAGTCTCTAAGGCCTGGTCTACACTACGGGATTAATTCGGATTTATCAGCGTTAATTCGAATTAACCCTTCACCCGTCCACACAACAGAGCCATTTAGTTCGAATTAAAGGGCGCTTTAAATCGATTTCTATACTCCACCTCGACGAGCGGAGTAGCGCCAAAATCGATTTTGTTAATTCGAATTAGGGTTAGTGTGGCCGCACACCACCGAATTAATGTGATTAAAATAAATGGGGTAGTGTGGCCGCACACCACCGAATTAATGTGGTTAAAAACCGAATTAATGTGCTTAGTGTGGCCGCGCACAATCGAATTTATACAACCTGTTTCCCAAATTCGAATTATCTAAATTCGGATTAATCCCGTAGTGTAGACATACCCTAAGGTGCCACAAGTACTCCTGTTCTTTTTGTGTTATACTTAAGACTCAGTAAAGAGGCTACTTCAGTCACAAAAGTCATACATACCCCTAAACATAAAAGGAAGCAGGGTAGCAAAAAATAAACCAGGATAGGTTGATTACAATATTCAAGAAGTTATTTGTGCCAAACAAATACCATTCAGAAAACTGAAACCCAACCCTAGTGAAGACACTTGCATTTTGAATCTCTTAATTTTTTTGGTTAAGACATGCTTTTCTGTGCTTGAATTCTGTTAAATGTTTCTAGATACCGTACTAGCTGAACAGTGGGTCCTGTAACTTGCTAGGATCTTGCAAAACACCCTATGTTCTTTTAACCATGTTTTCAGCGGGGTGGGGGTGCCTTTTGCCTATAACATGCAATTGTTTAAACTTGGGTGGCTCCATAAACGCTGTTCTTGAGGTTCTAAAGGGCTTTGGGAAAAGTAACCACTACTGATGTCATAATACGTTATATACTAGAACCATTGTCATGAACTTTATCCCCAAGTGCAAAGTTAAACAGAGGAAGAGAGTCAGGCGTAGGTGAGGGAGAAGCCAGGAGCTTGCAGGAGGGATTCAGCCTGGAGGAGGCGGGGAGACCCAGGAAGGCGGTTCCTGTTGGCAGGCCCTGCAGAGCACCAAGATGTGCGGGAGGTAGTGGAGGCTGGCGCTGGACAGGCAGAGCTGGAGGGGAGAAGCGAGGCGGGCTGGAGGGGAGAAGCGAGGCGGGCTGGCGGCGAGCTGGCTCCAGGACGGAAGGGGAGGCAGGCGAGGGCTTTGAGCCGGGGGCGTGCAGCAAGCTAATGTAAGGCCTCTAGCGTAGCCAGGGCTGTGGCCCCTGCCCGAGCCTCCGGCTCCCCGGGTAGGTCCTTTCGGGCCGGGCTCCCCTGCGCGACGCTACTGCCCGTTCCGTCCAGGCAGCCCCATGCCTCCTCCCCCCCCTCGTGCTGCCTGGGCGGCGCGTGCGCAGCAAGAACCCGCCGTCACTGGAGACCACGCCCACCCCACAGCCTCTTCCTCCCAGTCCCTCTGCATCCCATCATGCACCACGTCCCAGTCCGCAACTTTCCCCCCCGCCCATCAAAAATGTGACTGGCGGGCTGCCCCGCCTTCTGGCCAATGAGAGCAAAGGGCAGCGGGCTTCCGCTCCCAGCTCAGCGAGGCGGAAGTTCCGGTTTCCCCCGCCCGTTGCTGTGACTGCGCCGGGGTCGCGGTGCTGCTTGCCAGCGGCACCACGTGACAGGCAGCTCCCGTGTGCCAGCCACAGTCCCGCCAGCTCCCCTTAGCCCCGGGCCGGCCTCAGTGCCGCCAGCTCCAGCGCCCGGCTCCCCGCGGCCCCGGGCCGGCCTCAGTCCCGCCAGCGCCCGGCTCCCCGCGGCCCCGCCCGGCGGCAGGATGGTGCGGAAGCTGAAGTTCCACGAGCAGAAGCTGCTGAAGCGGCTGGACCTGGTGAGCTGGGAAGCGGCCTCGGGGAACCTGGCCGAGCTGCGGGTGCTGCGGCGCTACCGCCTGCAGCGCCGGGAGGACTACACCTGCTACAACCAGCTGAGCCGGGCCGTGCGGGAGCTGGCGCGCCGCATCCGCGACCTGGGCGAGGCCGACGCCGCCTTCCGGGCCCGCTGCACGGCCGCGCTGCTGGAGAAGCTCTACGGGCTGGGGCTGGTGAGCTCCAAGCACTCGCTGGAGCAGTGCGACCGGGTCTCGGCCAGCTCCTTCTGCCGCCGCCGCCTGCCCTGCCTGCTGCTCCGGCTCCGCATGGCCCAGAAGCTGCGCGACGCCATCACCTTCATCGAGCAGGGACACGTGCGGGTGGGGCCCGAGGTGGTGACCGACCCCGCCTGCCTGGTGACCCGGGCCATGGAGGATTTCATCACCTGGACCGACTCGTCCCGCATCCGCCAGCACGTGCTGAACTACAACCAGGAGAGGGATGACTTCGACCTCGCCTGCTAGGAGGGCAGAGGGCCCCGGGGAGCTGCTGGCTAATCTACCCCACCAGCCTGGGAGGAGACTCTGGACCCAGATATGCTGCCCCTTCATGCCAGGGGGAGGGGGCTTGGCCTGCATGTGCTGCCCTGGCCCAGTTGTTCTGTGTACCACCTCCCCCTGCAAAGGGATTCCTGGGCTCAGATGGGCCTTATCTGATACCATCCACCTCCTCTGTGAAGGGACTCTTGGCTCACTTGTGCTACCATGCTTGCTTCCTACCACCTCTTTGTGAAGGGACTCCTGGCCCAGATGGGCTGAGGCCAATACCACCCACCTCCAGAAGGAAGGGATTTCTGGCCAGGTGGGCTATTAAGCAGATATTATAAGTCACTGTCCCCAAGTCTCTGCCTCCTCTGTGACATTTTACCCTCCTGCTGCAAAGACCATTAGCAGAACAGCCAGAATGGTGTTATTTTGTTGTCACCATCAAAGGGGCATCTATAAGGGACTGATGAACAAATGCGCTCCTGGCCAGGAAAACAATCTAGAGGGTGACTGAAGATTTAAGTTTTGTTGCTCAAATGTGATGGTGGAAGAGATACAGGTTTTATACTTTGTCTTGTCAAAGGGCTTCTCTCTCACAATAGTCACTCTTTCAAAAATAAATCAACAGGGATCGTTCTGTTTTCAGAACTAAACTTTGCTAGTTACGCTAACATTGTAATCTGCAGCAATACCTAAAACAGTCCTCGTGATTTTCTCACATGTTTAATAAAACTGAAATTACTTTTCTTAGAACATTCATTTGATTTCTTTAAAGCAAGAGCTGAGCTATCTTTCCCTGTAGGCCCCCCCCCGCCGCCCTAGAGTAATAAAATTGAATATGTTCTTGTTTCACTTTTGAACTGGAACAGGCACTTAACCAATAATTTAAACCAAACTAAATTTTAAATGGTTCATTATTAATTTGTCTGTGGATTTTCAGGCACCTGGCCTAGGTATGTTCTGTCTTCATAATGGTCACAAGTGTATTTCTTTATTGTTCATGTTTTGCTGCATAGTACCTATTACATCTTGTAGACTTATTGTTTATGGTAGTGCTACTTATGTGCTAGGCATTTTGCCCCAAGGAGCTCAGAAAGCTAAATCTTCTCTTAGAGGGTAAGGCCTTATCTATACTGAAGAGTTTTGCTGGTACAGCTGTGTAGGTTAGCAGTGTGGAGAAAAAAAATCAGACATAACTATGCAGACAAACAAGGGCTTTTGGTGGTATACCTTATTTTGTTTGGGGAACTGGTAGGAACTGGCCTTGTTACTAGGAAGTAGAAATATACCAGCAGATCCTTTCTAGTGTGGATAAGGCATTAGAATGAATAATGTGCATGCTTGTGACCTGTCTAAGGCACTTACATTCCATTACTGTAATGTCCGGGCATCTTTATTTATCCTCACAGCACTGCAGCAAGGTGGGGGATGTACGAGCATACCCATTTTACAGAAGGGAAACTGCAGCACAGAAGGACTAAGGGTCTTTCCTAACTTCATACGAGAAGTCTGTTACAGAGCAGGGAATTGAACTCAGGCCTCCTGGGTCCTAGACTAGTGCTTCAGGACTGCCCCATGCCTCCTCTCACATAGTCATTATCACTTGCAACACAAGTTTGACACCTGGATCATGGGATTAGAGTGGAATACTGGCAACACAGTGCTATCACTGTTGTGGCACTTGAGTTGCAATTCTTCAATATTGGCATGGTTGGAAAGTTGAGTTTAGGCTTAGCTTTCTGCTGATAGGGGTTAATGCATCAACAGATGGTGATGGGTATCCAGCTGAACAAAAGTGTACTTTAAAAGTAGGTGGCAGAGTGAAAGCCACTCCCACTTTACCAGCTTGAAATCTAGTGAATTTCAAACTGAGTTAAAAGTATCTTCACCTTGCTCTCCCTGACAATTTTTGTGGCTTATAACCTTAAATAGCTTAAAGACTAAAGGAAACTAACTATACAGAGGAAATTATAAAGTTGTCCTCTGTACATGCTGTTAAATCTACAACATGAAACTGACAAGGGAAATATATTTTCCTTTTATCAAACTGTAGCACAGGTAGGTGCTACTGTGTATTTTTTTGTTTTAAAGCTGCTGTCTCTTTAATGTTAAAAGGGGGAGTTATTAAATGAGAAATATTATATGTATTTTAGTAGCATGGATGTAACTATATTTTTCTGCCAACCGGAGTGTAAGTCATTCATAATTTTGAGAAAATATCTTATCTAGGATGATACTTACACCTTTTGCAAAAAAACAAACCAAAAAAACCCCAAAACAAACTGAAAAGTGCTTTGAAAATCTTAAACCTAGCCATGTTAAAAAGAAGTGAGTGGGTAGTTGCCCAGGAAAACTTTGGGTCACTAATACTTTATGCCATGAAGGAATTTTCAACTTTTCCTCTACTGAAGCAGCTATCCTTCCATGATACTGGTGGCTTGGAGTTTGAGAAAAAGGAGTAAAGCATGTAAAGCAATGCATAAATAGCAAGGTTGTGATCTATTTTTTTGCCTTCCAAGCAAGCAATGAGACAGTGTATGGAGTTGGACTAATGGTATGGCCTCCTTATCTCTGGTCAGTACTAACATGCGAAAATGCTGTTAGTTTCATGGCTTTGTGCTCTCCTGATGTTATACAGTGATATGATGCCAGAACTCTGACAGAGAGAGGAACTCTCCTAGTTTTGCTGTCTTAGCCCTTTGAAAATTACCTGCTCTCTATATGTCACACAGGATCTGGCTAACGAACGTCTAGGCTTTCTTGCTGCTGCTGTGGGGATGTTTCGAGAGGGAGGAACTGGGCCTGGTTTCATGCCTGCTCTAAGTCCCTTCCTCCCACCTGCTATCACTTCTGTTTGAGGAACCTCCCACATCCTACCCTCACTCTGTCATGCACCCTCCCTTTTGCTTCAGGTTCCCAACTACTTCCAGAAGCTGGGAGTCTGCTGCCAACTGGGGAGTTGGTGTGCAGTGCTATTACAGAGCATGCACATGTGAGCTCCTCAACAGGACTCCCAGCAGGAGCGGCATCTCAGGAGGGAGGATGTTAGGGGCCCTTTGACAAGGAGAAGAGGGACACAGCACAAAATCCCTCAGGCCCAAGTAGTGAGGATGAACACGCGCTGAGTGTCATTGTTAAGCCACAGGTAGACTTAAAAATAATGCAAAACAACCCTCCATAACTTTTTAGTAAAGATTCTAATGGGTGACAGAAGAGAAGTTTGACTTTAGAAGCATTATGAGTTGAGTATCTTTGATAAATCCACATACCCCGTATGCTCAAGTTGAATCTTCAGCGCTCATTTTTTTACACCACTGACTTATGAATGTTACAAACTGCTGGATAAACTGGACACTGAAATGAGTAAAGCTGTTGACAATAATTCTAGTCTTAGCAGGACTCTCGGATTAACAATTAGTTTTTGTTTTTTTGTAGCTGACCTCACTGAAAAATAAGTTGAATTCAAATTGGCACTAATAAGCTACCCCTAGCTTTCAAATCTATGAACTGCCTAGTTACATTTTTCTTTCCCAGAGGGGAACTGAGCAAACCAAAATCAGTAAGTGAAATTGTAGCTATGCCAGAAACAAGTACGTGTATTTTTGGACATAAGTGTAAGCCTTTCTTTGAAATTTCATACAGATCATTAAATGAGCCAGCAGACTCTAGTCTTTATCTTCCTTCTGGGTGATCTTAAAAACAGGAGTTTACAATGAAACCACCGATAGTTAAATGGACACCAATTTCAATTTGTAGAAATATATATATATATAGATATATATATATATATAGATATAGATATATATATATATAGATATATATATATATAGATATATAAATAAAAACAAATAAATATGGTGCTAATAAAGATTTCCATCTTCAAATTTCTTTCTGCACCTTTAACCAAGGAAGTTGGTGTTGGAGCTGGAGTAAACGTCAAAAAATCCTAACTACTGGCCCTGTGCCTGGACACTAGCCTACATCTCTGTTCCAATCCTGAATATAAATAGAAAGGTTTGCACAAATGTTTTAAGTGGGAAGGGTGGCATATTTAAACATTCCCCTCTCATGATGGAAACTTAAACCCAGCAGACCATACGAGAGCATGAGAGTCAGAAAGTGAAACCCAACAGTCTAATCTCATTGTTCAAGCTGAGTAGTGTGTGCACTAATTTAAATAAACTACCATAAATGGCAATGGATCAAACTAGATTTTCAAACTTCTTTCCATTTTAATCAAGATATTAGTAAAGCAAGGAATTCTTAAAAATCCTTACGTGAAAAATGTATTAGGATTTCAAAAGAGGTGGGAAGCTGTTGAAAGTATAATAATCTGCTTTAACAAAACTACTTCCCTAAGAAACTGAAAAATCACTCCCACGGTGAATGACTGTTGTGATTATTGTAAACAAGAATCTAAAATAGGTTTAGGAAAGAATTGGTCTTTCAGCGCCCTTTATATGGTAGGAATTGTGTTGTCCCTCGCTCAGAGACCAAGAAGTCTGGATTTCGTAGGGCTCAAGTGTGGTTAAAATGCAGCTCTGATCACACTTTACAAATGTATTTTGGGGATTTGAAAAACAAACACATACACTTGCAGTTCACGTTTAGCTGCATAACACTAATTATACCATTGCTCTAGTGCTCTGTTGTCTTCGATTGCTCAGCTGGAGCTAGCCCCTTCTTTCCAATACAAAGAAAAAGTTCCAAAGAATCTTGAGGACCTCCCTGGCTCAAATATAGAAGGCCTGGGCATGCACGCCTGAGGGCATGACTGAGGTTTGTTCAGAAACACTCATTCATTCGGTGCTCATGACTCACCACTTCTCTTCTTAGTGGCAGGGAGCTATAGTTGCCAGAACCCTACTTATAGGAGGAAGGGTGCAATTGTGCTATAAAATCTACCCGAGCAACTCCTGGTGATGCCCTGGGGAATGTAGGTGTCTCTCTGGGGGGCAGAGTTAAACACTGAAGGATGATGTGGTACTTCAGTGGTCACAGTAGGTTGGGAAGAGCTTCCCAATCAGCCTGAATCCCACAGGAAAAACCCTCTTGTCATCTTACAACACATTTCTGTGGCTGAGTTAGTAATAAAATGGGGGACTGGAAATGCTGATCCTTAACCTTGATGGCATTTGTGGGCATCAGTCTGTTTCACTATCATCATACTACTTGTTTAAACCTTTCTTCTAAGCACCCCCATGCTCCCTGCAAATGTGTTACATATTACTCCTATTTTATAGATGGAGCAACTGAGGCAGAGAGACTAAATCCCCAATGCTGTAGCCAGTTAAATCAATTCGAGGTGCAATTATTTCTAACTGATTTCCCCAGAAAGACTCAGTGTTATGTGGGAATGGTACTGTGGTCCCTTTAGCCGCTGCTTCAGAAAGTAAAGGCCCAATACTTTGTTTCAGTATATCCTGCCACTTATCTGCGTGTGCTCAGGGCATACACAATGTGTGAGATGTATCTGAAGGTAGATGAGCTCCGACCTCTAACTATTCCATGCATCATATATATGGGCATAGTACAAAAACTGCACTGTATAAATGTGCTATGAAGAATGTCTTCTAGCTCAAAAACAAACAAACAAAACCTATGCATAACGGCAACATACCAAAATATCTGTTACTAGTCAAAGGAAATGGTAGCAAGCAGATAAACTTCAAGTGTTGTTTGCAAGGGGTTTTCTGTATGTGAACCAATCATGTTGGTACTTAAGTAAAAGGAGAGTAAGCTTGTGGCACTGC